TTCAGATAATGATTGACAACCACAGGCACTTTTCGGTTAATGGAAAACATTAATGGATCAAATCCACTATCTTTCCCAAACATATTTGTTCTTGTTACTTCAGTTGTGAAGAGGCCAATGACGCTCACAATTTTCTTTCATCTTTCGAATTTTAAGTGTTTCTCAATTATTTCAATAATATTAAGGAAGTGACTAGACTTTCATGATTGGTAAAACACCCAATTCCTTCTCCAATTGTTTCTCATACGATGCTTGGAAACGAGTATAATTATCCAACATGTTGTGTTCACAAGCTGTTTGAATTCTATCAAACATTTCAGATGTAATTGCAAATATTGTTCGTTTCTTTGGTGAATCAGTTCCTGAAGGTGAGCCACTGGAACCTCTGATTGCACTTTCTCTCAAAGCTTCAAATGTTTTCATTATTTCTGGAATTCCAAAATCCTTTCTTGAAATATTCAATTCAAGAGGAGCTCCAAGTCGAATATATGTATTACAAATATTGTAAAATAATTCTCTTCTTTGTTTTTCTGATTTGATTGCTTTGAATTTTTCAATGGCGTTCCACATCATGACATCTTCACATGCAAAACACTTTTCTGAGAATTTCAGAAAGAGATCATTCCACTTTTCATTCAGTAAAATCTTTCGAATATTACTTTCGGAATTCATTGTTTCAGATAGTTGAATGGAATTTGATTTTTGAGTTGTTTCAGAATTGTCTGTTTTAGGTTCTGATTTGAATCTTTGCAGAATGAAAACAGGATATGTAAATGACACGAATGTATCCCACATGCATCCAATTAAAATTGTAATTGTCCATGGGAAATAATAATCAACACTTTACAATAATTGTAAAAAATTACAAATATTCAAAAAACATACTATGAATTAATGATTGAGAATTGTGAAGCAACTCCATACAATATAATAACCAGCACCCAAAATACACTAATCACAACAACTTCAATCTTGACATTCCAAACATCTCTCTTTGTAAACAATGCAACAATGGAAACAATTAAGGAAATGAAAATATAAAAAGCTGCATATGAAATAAATACATATTGACTATAAGAACCAGTTCCACATCCAGAGGGAGACAATAAATAACTGTAAACGACATAATTATTTCTAATTTGTTCAGTATTTAAATAATTATCATTATATCTAAAATAGTCCACAATTGCAATAATGTAATAAATCATAATGTGCAACGCCACAATTAATCCATAGACCACAAAGATGAATTTAGTTCCTACAATGAATCTAAAGAGTGTAAATAATCTCTTTTCAAATATTTCCCATTTGGTTTTGTTTCTGAAAAGAATTTCCATATCCAATTGTTCATCTTGTAAAATTCCTGTAGAGCTGTCTTGTGTGGTTGATAATGAAAATGAGGACAAACTCTTTTGTTTTTCAATATTGTCAGAGAGTCCGCTTGATGATGATGTGTTTTCTCCAGTATTAGATTTAGCTCTTGATGAGCTAGTTGGATTTAGTTCAGTTTCGGTTGTGTCAGTAATTTGTTTAGTATTATCTGATGATATCGAATGACGCAGTTCATATTGTCTATTACCAATCCTCACTTTCAATTCATATAATTTTGTCAATATCAACAATCTAATACATCTCAATATGACAGTATTCGAAAGTGCAGGCACAGCCAAATAATAGATTAGTGAAAATATGAAACATGGATAAATCTTTCGTCCAATTAACACTCTAGTCATTAATACGAAAGTATAGGTCCATCCAATAATTGCTCCCATGACCATCAATGCTGGATTCCGTGCAACCTGCAAATAATTCACCACTTGTTTGTGTTCCTTTTGGAGAATATGCAACTTTCTCAATTTATAAACTAAACCTCCAACCGAAACTAATAACAAGCTTGTGTGAAGGAACAACACAATAGCTGAAATAACAATGGCCGAAGTGGTGTCATCACACAATCCCTTCTCACTCTTGTTTCCTTGTGAAAGGAGGAGTGGATGACAGATCGTTGAATCATTTGTACTGGGATTCGAATAGTTAGAGACCAACAACGCATCAAATATTGCCGTAGGAAAGATCACTTTGGCAGACATATGGTGTTTTTTTTTGTTGTTAGAAAGGTGAAAGTACCGTATTTCTAAAATTGTGTAGTGGATTCCCTTTTGGGTGCCATTTTACATTGTGTTCGCGATATAGAACCAACACGAAATATGAAACGACGATTTTATTTTGTGGACTATCAATTACCACCTACTTGAGAAGGCAAATATTTCAATCTTGGTGAAATCAAAAGGACGACCACCTTGCAAAGTACAGGTTCCTTTCTTGGAAATTTCTGCAAATGATTTTACATAAATAAAGTAGTTTGAATCAGTTTTTGGAGTTGCTTTTTGTTTTTCAAGTGATTGTTAATTATTTCAGCTCGCTCAGAGTCTTTTCCAATTGGGTTTTCAAAATAAACAGATTGTTTCTCAGATTCACTCCAAATAATGGCAAGAAAGCCATAACGTGTTGATTGCTCATTCACTTCCTTCTTAAATTCCTCAATAGATGTTTTTGGGTTGATGGTAAGAATCAATTGATTTTGATATCTGAAACGTGTTTGCAATTCAAAATGATATAGTTGATTTGAGTCTAATAAGGCACATTTCATATTGTTAATTGATATTTTGATTTCAAGAGGTTTTGTTTTTGAAAACTTGTTGCCTTTGAAATAGTTCAAACTTGGGAAAATGGCACCTGACAAGTCACATTGGTTGAAACTGTTCTCCCAATCATCACTGAAACAATATCCAAACATATTACAGGATTCAAATTCACAATTTTCAAATTTAGCACCTGATTGCTTCCAAAATTCACAGTCTTTGAATAAGGTATTTACAAATACTTTTCCTTTCAAAGATTCTTGATCGAATGATTTCTTTTCAAATTTTAAAATTGGGGTACAGTTTCTAAATGTTGCATTTTCGGGATTGGAATTAGTGAAATCTATATTTTGAAAATCACAATTTTCGAAACATGCATATTTTAAATTGCATGAGGTCAGATTTGCTGCAGAAAAGTTTCTACAAGATCTGAATTGTGCACTCTCAAGATTAGAATTACTCAAATTTGCAGAATTAAAATCACATTCTTTGAAAAGTACTTTTTTCAGACTACAAGAGCTCAAGTTTACCGAACTAAAATTACACGATTCAAATGTTGTGTCATCCATTCGATTTGAATTTAGTTTGGCTGATGTGAAATTTGAATATTTGAAAAAAGAATTGTCCATTTTTGAA